CCCGCAAGTCCCTTCCTCCCGTCCGGCGGCTCCCGAGCGGTCTCCGGGTGCTCTCCTGAACCAACCAGCGTCTTTCGCGGTACGGCAGTGACACAGGACACAGGTCTGAGCGCTGCCTGGCGCCCACCTACAGTAGCGCCTCTTAAACCGGGACTGTCCCATCATGCGCGCGCACCCGAAGCGTGTAAAGCTCCCACAGTGTGGAAGGATCTGTCAAGCCTGGCGGTGGATCATGCATCTAGGTTGCTCTCCGGGAAGAAATGTATTTGTTTTAATGCGTAGTCAATGTTACTGGCATTTGGCAGAATGAGGAGCACTGCCACGAGCTAGGCAGGCTGGGGACCCACCGCTCCTGCAAATGTCACCTCAGAGAAGCTGCAGGTGCAGTGGGACAACCAACCTCTCACAGAAATGAGTACAGAGCAAGAAAGGGACTTCAAGTCTTTACACAGTAAAGCCTGCCACAACAGGCCAAGGAGGTACCACTCAAGATAGTGAAGTCTGCCTTGTATGACACTGTCAGTTTTGGGATACTCCTGTCAGCCTCCTGCCAAAACCACATGACATCTGGCTTTTCTCAGGCTGATGAGAGGCTGGCCACTTGCAAGGCAGCAACACATCTACTGCCTGATCAGGAGCCAGACAGCAACAGGAGGCTGCAAGCTAGGCAAGATCTGGCCAGCCAGGTCACCAGCTGAAACATCAGGGTAGGTCTACAGTGACAAAGATCTGAACGTGTGGCTGTTTCACGCAGCAGCTCAGTGCTTAGACCAGGTTATAATGGCCCTTAGACCTGGTTGATGACCCTTACTAGTTTGAAGAAATACGAAGCTGAAGGTCAAGAGAAGGAATCACAAACTCCATCCATCACTTGGTATAAGATAGTCTGGCTTATGTGAAGTCAAGAAGACCATCACAAGTACTCTGTAGGCTTCTGTTTACAGTTTTAATCTGGTAGGAATAAAGACTTCAGTCCTAGTTTCTGCTAGGAAATGTATGCATCTTTAATTAAAAGGTTTAGAACTTAATCCTAGTTACCATACAGTATTTCCTAGAAAACAAAGCTGATAAAGGTATTAAATAATTCTATGTGGTTTTTGACATCAAATGTAATAAAAGAAGGTAATAAACTAAGTTTATATAGGATGTTTAAATAATGCATTTATATAAGCTATCTGTAGCGAACTGACTTTGGTTCTCATTTCTTACACTAGTTTTAATTAGAAGTCTGAAAGCAAACACCTCTAAATTCATGGTAACATCTTTCCTTAGGTTCTAATGTCTTCTTTACTGGTATTTTTATTTCAAAAACATTGTGTGTGTACATAGGTGCAATGCATGACAGGACAATGGAAGGTGTGGGTTTTGTACTGCTATATGTATCTGGGATCGTAACATGTAGTCTAAAATAAAGTTTAAAAGTCTTCTTTACCCACAGATTTAAACATGTATGCATGCATCAGTAGATTAGAAAGGCCAAAGTTTTGCTTTCACAGATCGAATGTTCTAAGATGCTGGTAAATAAATAGATAGAAACAATAAGATGCTGTTCATATTATGTAACCTTTACAAAAATCGATAAACTGGAGAGCCAATTAAAAACAAAGGAGAAACTGAACTGAAGCCAAATGGACACTGAAATATCAGCCAAGCAATACTGTAATGATTCTTTGCACTTTGACTCAAGAACAGAAACATTCTTTTAAAAAATAAAAATAACTCACAACTTGTCACTTGACTTCCACAGCTTTTTTTTTTTTGGGGGGGGGATGATGGGGGAGGAACAAGGGATATTCCTAAACAACGTTTTATGTTTATTAGTAAGGGCCAAGCATGAAAACATGAAGGAGATACACTTGGACTCCATCTCCCATGCCATGCGTAAGTGTTTAACAAATATGCAGATTAGCAGTGGGGTCATTTATTTACCACTTTCTTGCAATCACTCAAACAAAATAGAATTTTTTTTGTTCTCTCAAATATACTACTTGACACTCTACTGATGTTTAAACTATCATTTAAATGATAACTGCAACTTTTTAAACTTATTAACATTTTTTAATGCATACCTTTTGAGAGTGCTGTATTGGTATCTTCAGTGGAGAAAGTTAAAAACTGCAGTTACTTCTTGCCCAGTCAAATTTACTTTTTAAGTGGACTGCTGCAGCAATGATGTCTCACGTAAAGGTAATAGAGTCTTTTATTCAGCAAGTAAGAAAACTGTTTATCAGTCATGAGGAAACAAGTTGTGGTGACTTTCATGATTTGAAAAGCAGTTGTATTTTCTGGATGGTGCTCCAAGAAGCTCCTTTGCAGACAAACATCTACATCTCTTGTAATGGGCTGACAAAGAGCAACATTCAGGATAGACTCTTTTTTTCATTTTCTGAAATAATTTCCATTAAGGACTCATAACTGGCATATTCTTTCAGAGTTTGTATCATTTCATCTAGCATTTCTTCCCCTAGCATGAAAGACTCAATACGATGCACTGATCTGCTTATCCTGTGGTCAGTAATCCGGTCCTGTGGAAAGTTGTATGTTCTGATCTTCTCCGATCTTCCTTTAGTCCCGATCTATCAAACAAGAAGAATTCGTTTATCATCATCACCTTTTTATAAGAAGGATGAAATACTGATTAGATATCTAAAGCAAAAGCTTTCTCTTCCTCCCATGATTATCCAAAGTTTGCTAGTTATATAGTACTTAGACCAGTTCAGCAGTTGCAGTAATTGTTCTCAAACATGTGAAAGAACAATTTTACTATATCATTTTCTAATACTGTTCTGGTTCTTCACACTCTCTAATCCAGTTTGTTTCAGTAGATCTCTAGAATTTACATACTAATGACATTTTAGGTCTGGCTATTATATGACCTTTATTGCTGAAGTAGAATGTTTTGGGGGTTTTTTGCCCAATGTAAGACCTTCCTGGGCTCTTGTTCCTCTGTATTTCCATTTGCTATTTGCAGTTCAACACAGGAATTACTCCAAGAACATATGCTCGTACAGAATTATATCTTTAAGTGAAACTTACTTGAATCTTTCGGACACTGTTTCTCTTTTTTGTTTCTTCTTCCAGTTTAGCGTTGTATATTTTAGCACACAGCATTTGCATAGCCTTCTCTTTGTTTCTAATTTGAGATCGTTCTTGCTGACATTCAGACGTGATCCCTGACAAAAATATCATGACATTTAGCACTTAACAGTAACACATACTAAAAGGGTTTTGCAATTTCTAGAAGATTTTTTTTATTATGTTACATTAAGCGGTTTCTTTCTCCAATACATATTCTGTACTGGGAATGTAAAAGTCCAGGCTTATTCATGTCTAATGATACATTTTGTGAGCGAAGTGCGGGCTGAGTTGTACAGGTGCTTAAAGCCATAAGACAAGAAATTTAAGATGTTATGTTGGACAACAGGTAGACAATGAAATGAAAAAATACTTGATGTGATCTGACTTACAGAAGACACCTTTAATACCTGTAATTTTTGATCACAGTTTCAAGAAATTTAGGAGTATATAGAATAGCCAGAATATACAAAAGTGGGCATTATTTTCTTAAAAAAAGAAAGAGATGTGGTTTCTCCCTCCCAAAATATATAATTTAAGTTAAAATGAGAAGTGAACAGCTTAAGAAAGGAGCAGGGAGAAGAAATACAGAAAGAAGACAGCCCAAGCTAAGTTTTTATTTCGTTTTGTTTTAAGTAACACTGGTAAGATTACAGTATAGTTTTATAAGATTACATAGTATTACTTTATGAAGGAGTTGGTTTTTTTTTTTTTTTTTTTTTACAAACAACTTTTTAGGTCACCATGAAGGTTTATAAACAGAGTTAGGATGAGAAAAACAGAAAAAGTAACAAGACAGTTGTATAGGAAGAGATCAAGAGGAATGAAGTAGTGGAATAGGAAGGAAAAAAAACAGAAGGTGAGATATAAGCCCCTCTATGAACCATCTCTAGTGCATAACCACAAAAATTTGCAATACATTTTAATATTTCTATAACAAACACTTTTGCCTTCAGTAAAAACTAAGATAATTTGTTGGGTATTGTTTGTTTTTGTTTTTCCCAAACATGCACGCAATCCAAAACTTTTTGAATTTGCAGTACCTTTTTGTCATTGTATCTTGAATGGAATTCTACCATCTCCATTGTTTACACTCTGCTTTACTGAGGTGATGCAACAAGTGTGGAATGGATTAATGTCTTCAGTACATATGAAGAAATGGGTGGCAAGAATCAGGATACGTGAAGATAAAGAGCACTCAGAATTACCCTGAGGCTGTAAAACCTGACTAATGTTTGTGGTAGAGAAGAGGAAAGTTAAAAGGCAATGAAAGTCAAGGGAGCTGTTGTGTATTGCTCAAAGTGAAGTAAAAAGCTTAAGAATGGCAATAAAAAAGATAGGATAGCTAAAATCAGGTAGCATCTGAGGGTGTATCTTACCCCTCCTACGTTTCCTAACTTGAGCCCTGGGGATGGGCCTCCTTATTATGTGTGTAATCTATAGGAAAGGAGCCAGCAGACAAATGGAAGCTGGCATCCCGAGTAGACTCTACAATGAAAAGCAAATTTTAATATGGAAATAAAGTAATCTTTCTTTCAGAGACTAGTCAAGAAAAGGCAAAACATCAGATTTTAACCTCATTTGTTTTTCAGGGTTTTTTTCCCCATTATTTGAAAGCTTAAATATAACTCTTGTTTTATTCCCCATAGAAACTGATCTGGATGCTTTTGGAGTGTCATGCTTAATGACAAAATGGATAGCTTACCTACTGACACCAGTAGTCTTCACTATTACAAATTAGAGTGGGCATGAGATGGTGCCTTTAAAGTACTATAAACACAGATGAAAACTGTATGAAAACTCTGCTCTACTGTTGTCCAGGTTTGAAAATAAAACCATCATTTCAAAAGAAATTCTGACAACAGTTTTGCAATGTAGATCTTGTATGAAGGAAAAAAATGAAGCACCTGTTGGAATATGAACTATCCGTACTGCACTGTCTGTGGTATTGACATGCTGGCCTCCAGCTCCAGTAGCTCGCTTTGTTTCTATCCGTAGGTCTTTCGGATTAATTTGCAGCCTCATCTGTCACGGGAGACAGAAAACAAACAAAAAAAAGAATTACTTATGTTGTTTCTTTCTAGACAGATGTCAAACATGCATAGTTGGTGTATTTTATAAGGCACATTCAGGCAAGATCAAACTTTTTAAAGTTTATGAGTGGCAGCTCACATCTATTTACAAACATATTAACAAATTCTTGTAGCCAGATTGGAACATGACATGGTGGAAGCCAGGAAATCAGACAAATAGTAGTTTAAGGCATAACCATTGCTTAGCACTAATCTTCCCCCTCTTCTGAAAGCTCGGCACCCTCTTCCAGCAGAGTTAACCAATATTTGACCTTGACCAGAAGGTTTTTAGACCAAATGGAATATATTCCCTTTGCTGGCTCTGCAGTGAGGCGATAGCCTCTGGGAATAAGGAGCGAGACAACTTGGGGAGAGAACAGGAAGGAGTAACTCTCTGACAATTTGCTACAACAACATGAAACAAAGATCAAAACAAAGCTTTAATTCTTAGCCAGTTGTTTTTCACCATGCAAATATAGTGAGAATGAGTTATCACCCATACACTTTGGAAGGGGAAAGTGAGGATGCTACAAAATTGGGGAAGAGGAGGTGCTAAAAGAAATCTCTACGAGCACTGTAAACTAATTCAGTCTCTTGTTACTTTATAAAAATTGTAAAGTTTTCCACAAAACATTCAAAACACAGTCAGTGAATTTTCAAGTTACAGTGCCAGTGACTTTCTTGAGATTAAGATTATGAGGAAATTCAGAAATTCTATATTTCAGCCCCCTAGACAAAACCTCAAACAAATATTACTTAGTTTAAAACTAAGATTTAAAAAAAAAAAAAATATGAGAGAATAACAAGAGATGCAGAAGACCCCTGGATATCAGCAATATGGCATATAAAAACATTGCTCATGGTAAAGTCTGTTATACTAAAAGATAAATATTACCTCAGTGGGTTGGGGTAATATTGCAACAGTCATTGTGCTGGTGTGAATGCGTCCTTGTTTTTCTGTCTTTGGCACCCGCTGAACACGATGCACTCCTCCTTCAAATTTCATGTATTTGTAAGCCTCAAGACCTGCTATACTGGCAACTGCATGTCGTAGGCCACCTTAAATACAGAAGAAAAACAGTTGCAAAGCTGTAAAACTGTTGGTATGTTGTTTTATTTCAACCAATGTATTTAGACATCGTTGTAATTTGTTTCTTAAAATTATAAATTTACCTTTTAAACACTTAGGCAGAACTATACCAAAAATGCAAGAAAACTCTGAAAAACAAAGCCAGACATACGTACTCACACATTATCCCAGGTAAAGAACTGTCAAGTTATTTTTTGTTCAGTCCATTTTTTTATATATACATAAAAAGATTGTCTACGAACCATGCACATACATGTTCACATACAATCCTAAACCATAGTAGAACTCTAACACCAGTTTATATAAGGGTCAAATTTTGAAAGCCACCCTCAGAAACTACTGAAATTATTGTTGTTAGTGAAGAACCTTATACTTCAATGGAAAAAAAACAACAAACCAACCTCTAACTAAAGGATAAGTATTATTCATACTCATCTTCTTATCCATTCTCCTCTGTGCATCCTACTCATGTCTTGTCTTTGCTCTTTCATTTCATCTTAATCTTCTGCTCCCTTGGAGCGAGCAGAACTGCAACTCCTGCCCCTCTTACCCACACATCCAGCAAAACACTTGCAGCAATGTACTAAAAACTGGGACTGAACAGCTTGGAATTTGGAAGTAAACCTCAATACAATCATGGTTTTGTGACAGAAAGCATTTGTTGTCATACTGGTTTATTGCATTCTTGTTCTTCCTTGTTTGCTAGTGTGCAAAACCTTCAGTTGTGCCAAGATCGCTGTTTGAAGGATCAGTGATGGCACATAAAGGAATGCAGAATTATTATATTACAGAATGATTTAGGAGGAGATAGGCAGCCTTGAAAGAGTATTGTTGAATTATTGCAACATGAAACCACAGCCAAGGAAGAGAAGTGCCACATACTTCTCAGAAATACTGTTCTAGGCTATCTCTAGAGTATGGAAATCAACCATAGGGACAAGATAGCAGCTTCTTTAAAAAAGGAAAAAGAAGACAAAAGAGAATCTGAAAATGGCCCACAGACCAGGAAAAAAATCATCAGCCAGCACGTACATCAGTTTTTTCAATTCATTCACAGAGAATGTTTGCAAATGTTTTTATACTAAAGAAATCTAACATTACCTCATAACTTTACTATAACATTTCATTTTACAATCATGTTTGTGGAAAAGAGCCCAAACTACCTCTTCCTTTCTCTTCCATCTCATTTTTGTCTTCCTGACTTCTACAATTTTTCCTCCTACTTGTACACATCTGTACCACTTTAATTCAAACGCAGTATTCAACATACCTAGTTCTTCACTGATTTAATTTATAGTCATTTTTTACTAACGATTCTGTAAGAGAAATCCATCATGTTTAGAATAAATCTGACAATAAAGCATGTAGTTTAACAAATAAGAGTCTCTGTCAAAATCTTCAGTTTAAATCAGTAAGTTTCATTCTAACAGGTACTGTGAGATCTGTCTACTGCTATGCAAATGCTATTCAAGGGAACAAAAGATTTCTTCTTCATTCTAAAAGAATCTTATATAACCTAAACTAAATAATGAAAATTAGTAATAAAACTTACTATGTCACATACAAAAGCAAACACTAAAATGATCATAAACAACCTTTGCACATGAGAAGAAGCCAGGCTACGTCATGAGTAAAAATAATGTGAGTATCTACAAGGCTATGGCACTACTGATGAGTATTAAGTGATAAGCAAGTTCATTGCAAAAGCAAATGTTCTGTCTTTTCTCCCTCACTTCTAGCATTAAGAATTTTACACCACAGGTACAGTCTATCTATTTGAGCTGCAGCCACATGTGACACGTTCAGGAGAGCTTAAGGTTCTAGTAATAACAGCATGCCTGTGGTACTGCAGTGCTTAGCACAGGATGACCAAGAAACCTGTTGAAAAGATAGGTATTTAGGTCATACTGCTTCAAATCAACTATTACTGACACAAGTTTAATATGAAATGCAGCCAAATCCAATGAAATGTCAACAAACCCTTTATCCTAGCAGACACATCATAGACCTGTCAAATATAGTTAGCTCATACTAACTATATGCTTGCTCCTTTCAATTAAAACAGCCCTCTCTATCCTGAAAACTGATGTACACAGAAAAAGGGTATGAGTTTTCACTTGGTTTTTTTATGTGGCATCTTATACTTAGATAGAGACAAATTCTCCTATCTGTGTCTCTGCCTGTCACTACAGGGTGAGAGGCAGTACAGAAACAATGGCATGTGAGTTTATGCTTTTAATGTGCACACTAAATCTTGAATGTGCAGTGGCATCCCTTGGGGTAGGTCAATAAAGTCAGTTAAGTGTGGACTAAACTCAATTTTTAATTGCGGCTTTGCCTAACATTCACCTTGTTCACACATGCTCACATTTCAGCCAAATTCTGGAGCTTTCTGAAGGGAGCGAGTTTGATGTTTTAACACAGGACCTTGCTTTTGCTCTTGCAGTTCATAAAAATGGAGCATGGATGAGATGCAACAGCCTAGCGTCACCAGCCAACATCCTCAACTCCATTCTTGCTGAGCACAGCACAGCACTGACGCTTTGAACCTGAGGGTTCAAACTTGCCTTTCAGTGGTGGTGCCATCTGTAATACCCCCACCTCCCAACATATTTCTAGCTCCTCAGTTGCAGTAATACGTGGTCACACAAGTAAGATCAGAAAATACACTGCAAGAGGCTGACAAAGCCTGGTGCTGCCTTTATTTTTCTCTAAATTTACATCCTACCTTCCTAAATATTCATTTCAGTGCACAGGCAAGTCCTCAGCAAGACAAAGGAGCTTAAAATAAACACACATCCATTAAAAACCTTGCCGTTTCAGAGAGAAAAATAAGACTAGATATATACTAGGTTAACGTATTACTTCAGTTTCCCATTTAAGGCATTAAAGAGAATGCCTCTGAGGGTGTGGGCTCCTTGTCCATGGACTGAGCTTTTGCCTGAAGGGTAGTCAAGCACAACTGCCTTTCTCTTCCAATCACAGGACTGCAAAGTTGATTCAGACCTGACTCAAAAAAATCTGTTATTGGGTAGGTTTAAGCGAAATCAGAAGATCTGCATAAATAATTAGAACTCTCAGATCTCCTCTCAAAGTCTCAACAATTTCCCCACTTTGGTCATCCATTAGCTGTTACAGATAAGCCATATCCAAACATCCCATTTCTTTATGCAAATCCTCAGATGACATTATTTCAGATAAATTCAAGATGTTTTAGATTAAACCTCAAGAACTTTAATTATACTGATCCCTCTCTGTCAAGGGATCCATAGTAATAAACAGACTTTCAACATGCTACCAAACTGATCTATAAACACTGGAAACATTAAGTAACAAAGTAAAACAGCATATACAAATAAAAAGTGTATGTAATCTGTATGTGCAAAAGAATAAGCTAAACCAACATATCTGCATCACTTTCTGACTTTTCTTCCACCAAGCACTTAGCTTCATTTGTACTTTTTGAAACTACTGAAAGACAAGTTTTATTTTTAGCACTTTAGTATATTAATAGTACTTATGAAATGGAATTTCATTCACAATACAGAAGCTGAGGAAGATTGTACTCAGACATTCAATCTTCCGCTTCTAAACTTAAGTTAGTGCGAATTAGCTTCCTGTCAAGAAATTCAAGTGTCATATGAATGAGTGTTTCCATTTAAATTAAAAAATTACAAATATTAAGTATTTAATTACTGACCTATTTCACTGGGAAAGTATTCTAATATTTCAAATTTCCACTTTTTATAGGCAGCATATCGTTGATACATATCAAATATCTCCGAGGTGAACAGCATGGCTTCCTGCCCTCCAACTCCAGCAGTGACTTCCATGACAAGATCACTCCTGTCTGTTTCTTCTGAAGGAATCAAAAGCAACACTATCTGCAAATACAAAAAACACCAAGCTAAGACTTCCCTCTGACACTGCTGTCCACGACAGAGAGTATAAAACACCAGACAAGCCTGTAACCGATCTGGCCTGCCTTCTCCTACACTAACCCAGTGGTTACCCAGAGGATAGGTTTCTCATGCCTCTGACAGCGAAGCAGCAGCAGCCAGGGAGAGGTGGGGGGACGCTGCATTGCAGAAAGGCTCCCTGTGTCTGCTTGCAGTCACAGGAGCTCCATAGGTCACTCTCTCAAGGCCTACAAAAGTTCACAGAAGTTTTCCTCTATCAGGAGCACAGTGGTGTTTGGACAACACAGGATACATGCCAGTTCTTGCAAGACAACCAAGCATCTCCCTTCCCATCAGATTCCCTTTTAACCAGGTCTCAACCGCAGAGCTAAGAAGGCACGGATGTTCAAGAGGACAGTACTTCAACAACAACTCAGCTGTGTTATTTGTTTATTTTAAAAGAGAGCGCCAGCCTTACAGCAGTCTGTAGAAGATAGAGTAGAACCAAAAAACCGTATCACAATTTTTGCAGGCTGGATCAAAACTCTGGATTATTCGCAAACGCTTTTCAACCATCCTCCTTTACTAGCATCAGGTGATGTTTCTTTCTACAGACTTCTTCCTCTTTTGGCAAAATCATAAGTATTTACAAAAAATATATATGAAGTGACTGATGTATTGCTGTTGAAGAAATAAAGAATGCAACAATACCAGCTTCTACTTTACCTGTAACATTAAAAACATGTAACAGTTTGTTTATGTAAAGATCATTATGTCTATGTTCTGTTACATGACAAGGAAGTAGAGGCTTTTAAAGGGGATCTAACCTGGTGTTTCAGTTCCGCTATCTCTTCTTCACAGGAGGCGATTTCCCTTTCTGCAAGCTTCTGGAAATCTTCACTCTCATCTGGAATATTTGAGTATGGTTAATCCTCAGACTTATATCAGTGCCACTCTCAGAAAACCTACTGAGAAATAAGCACATGAAAAAACTTACTCTACAAGAAAAAAAACCCACCACACAAAAAAATCCCAACACACCAAACCTGTCAGAAAATGAGATTAATAATACGATCTGTAACAAAGATCAAACGGTACATATTAAAAGTAATTTCTGATGCTGTTCAGGTATGAGATAGGGGAAAATATAAAACAGGAAGTTTCACTTAAACATTAAAAAAAAAGGAACCAAATCAACACACAAGACAACCAACCAACCAAAAAAGCCCCAACACCCCCACTCAACCAAAAACCCCGCAACTGCTGTGCTGGTGGTCAAGCAGTGGTACAGGCTGCCCAGAGAGGTTGCGAATGGAGTCTCCATCCTTGGAGATATTCAACCTCCAGCTGGACACAACCCTGAGCAACCTGCTGGAGGTGACCTTGCTTGAACAGGGTGTTGGACTGGACAATCTCCAGAGGTCCCTTCATTAATACATTTATAGACTATCTCACATCCTTCTTCCTCTGAGATACTGTCAGCCTCATACTAATTGGTTCGACATACTTGTTCTTCCTTCTTCACTTGTCAACTGGCCAGTCTTATGATAGTTCTATTTCCTCTTGCAATGCTCCATAATTAGCTTTCACTCCCATCCACGTAGGCAGAGTTGCTTCGTAAGCTTCCACTGTGACCTTGCTATTTTCCATCTCAACATCTGTTTCAGAACCCACACTGTATTTCACTGTGACAGGAACATCAAGGATTTAAAGAGCGCATCACTGTATGCAAAAATTTGAAAATAGTAATTTCAAGTATTTTACCCCAGTCAACTTCTTCCAGGACAGGTGAAACTCCTAATGCATCACGAAAAACAAAGGTGCAGACGAACTCTTGCATAATAAGAGAAACTTGCAATTTTGAAGTGTTACTTGACTGATCGCCACCAATGTGTTACAATTAAGACTTGTTTCTCTGTACTACAGTTTTGATACATTAAAATGTTCCCTTTTTTCCTGGTCAATGTCAAACTCCAACCAAAAACAAACAAAAAAACCCCAAAAACCCCCAAAATTCCAACTAAAACAACTTAAAAAAATCAACATCTTAAGCAGCCTCTGATCTACACTGACACAGTTCATCCACCTAGAAGAAAAAAATATTACCCCAAACAGGAGAAAGTGGTATACACAATGAAAAAGGGGGAACTGGAGCAGGCACAAGGACACATAACTGCACAGGAAGCAACCAGAGAAGAAAAAGAAAGATTCTAGACTTTATTTTTTTTGCGTAAAGCAAGCTTTTAAATGTGTTCAGCTGAGACAGGAGGGGCAGTCTTACAATAAATTCATACCTTTTCAGCACTGTAACTGCATTTAGTCATCAGCAAAATTTTAAATGAAACTTTTTGACTTTACAATTTAGATTTAACACTGGCGAATTAACCTCTTCCCATCACTGCTGGAAGAAGGAAATGAAAAAGATAATCATGAGTAAATTGGGTTAAACAAGAAGCATGCTTTACCTACAGTTGGCTGGGAGCATTCATGGGTGACTACCTGAGTAACTGTAACTCTTTAAACACAAAAGCTTGATCATCTCCAACTATCTACATTTTCTTACAATAATTATGGACTGATCAAGGGCTAGTCATTATGGCCAACAGAAAGAAGGATAAGAATTAAGGAATTATAAACCAATTAAAATCAAACCAGCTATTTATAATGCAATTATTATACAACTAATAAATAATCTATTTAATAGCATTTCAATACTTTAAAGTGCAAATGTAATATAAGCTCTAAAATCAGTTAAAAATATGATATGCAAATATTGTTAAGTATAAACTACAGAGATGCTCAAAGTTGCTGACTAAGCCCTTGTAATCACTTCACTTAGCTGAAGTTTTAGACCTGGCTTTGACAACACTGGCTTCTTCAGCAGGTTCTGAAAGGAGGGAAAAAAAATCCTCCACTGTATTTCATTCAGTTACTTTGGGTCATGGATTAGTTTGTTCAAAGGACAAATTGTTCCCTTTTCAATCTGAAGCTGGAGAACAGAATGGAAATAAATAGAAAAAACCCCAACCCAAACCACATCTACTTTCAGAGAGTGTTTGTCAAGCCCATCAGCTAAAATAACTGACTATAGTCAACACTCTCATTTAAGCACTATTTAGAGAAGCAGTAAGCATTACACGATCTAGAAACATTTCATGATCTTGTGAACGTTTACTGATCTCAATGTACAGTTTTTCTGCATCCTAAACACTATCAAAACGAAGTCTGATTTGGAGTAAAAAATATTTGCTATTTGGCAACGCTGAAAGTGCACAACTACTGACAGGACACAAAGTTAAATCACAGGGTGGACGTGGCACAAACAGATGCTAAGGCCTATGAGCATAGATGCACGCAGGCAGACCGGTCTGTCTTTACAGCAAGAAAAAAAAATCCACTAAAGCCCACCACTTTTCAACCCTTAATTAATTGTCGTTATTTTCTATGGCATGGATGCTATCGGGCTGCTCTCTTTCATGTATCCGC